TTTTTTTTTTTTTTCTTTTTTGTTCCTTGCAGCAGAAGCTCCACAGACGTTTAATACAAACACCGGGTGGGGTGGGGGAGAGAGAGCTGGACAGTCAGATGGGGCCACGGCCGGACACCAAACGCCGGGACACAGGGAGAAGGCAACTAAAGCTAAAGTCGGGGTTTGCAATTCTCAGTTCTGACTGGGCCCTGGGGGTGGGGGGCGGTGGGTGCGAGGGCTCCCGGGGGCTCTGGCCTCCGGCTTCTGTTGGAAATTTTTAAAAAGAATGAAAACTAGGGGGATGTAAAATCCAGACAGAAGCCAAGGCTGGGCCAGGCTCAGGATGGGGGCTACGTCCACCACCCTCACCAATCTGGAAAGACGGGAAAACCCAACAAACCAAAAACGGGTGACAAGTGGATGGGAGGGAGCGTGGGGCAGGGACCCTGGGCCCGTCCACCCTGGGCCTGGCGGGCATGGTGGGTGCTTGCTGTGGGGGAGGCTCAGGGCTGGGCCGTCCCCTCAGCTTCATGGGCCACGGCCTTGGCCCAGGGAGGCTTGGCCCCAGGGACAGAGGGTCCTTTGGCCTCAAGTGTTTGGGGGGGGGCAGCTCCCAGCCCACCGTGATGCCAAAGTGGAACGAGGTATCGTGTGTCTGGATGCGTGGACGCTGTGTGTGCACGCCTGTGTTCGTGGGCGGCAGGGAGACCACTGATGATCCAGGAGAGAACTCTGCAGAGAACCTGGGGCAGGGGCTGTGGCCGGAAGTGCCGGCTGGCCTAGCAGGAGGAAGTGGAGGGGTGGGGTGGGGGGTGGGACCTTTTGCTTGGGCCTGATGCTGTGGGCCTGTCTGTGTATCCCTGGGTGTTGTGTTTGTGTGTCTACACGTATCTGTCTCCACACTCACGTGTCCATGTGTGCCCGTGTTCACGTGTATCTGTGCTTACCCATGTCCACGTGTGGCTGGGTCCACATGTACCTGTATCTGTGTGTGTCTGTGTTCACATCTGCCCATGTCCATGCGCGTCCAGGTCCACATTTACGTAGCCCCACACCTCCATCTCCTTCTTTCTCTACGTTCATCGAGGCCCCTGTGTCTCAGTAGGGCTAGTGATTCCTAAACGTGTCTGGGGTGTGTCTCTGTGTTTGTCTGTGCTGCTGTGCATCCCTGGGGCGTGAGGGTGGCCTCTGCGTGCCTCGTGTGGCTGTAGTTATTGGGTGGCCCTGTGGACCCCAGCCCCTAAGCCCTGCTCCCTGCCCCCTGCCCCAGTTGGTAAACATAACCTGCCAAAATATTTTCTTTTTTTTTTTTTTTTTTTTTTTTTTTTTTTTTTTTCAAGTTCAAGAATCCCCAGTAAAAATTCTCCACGAGGTCTTTTTCCCTTTTTACAAAAATAGAGTTTTTCTTCCCCTCCCACCCCCCCTTTTTTTTTTCATTTTGTTTCTGCTTCCAGCCCCTCCCCCTCTCCCCACGCTCCACCAAGGGGGTCTGGGCCATTGATGCCCACACCCCTCCTCACACTTCTCTTTGTTGGGGATTTTTAAACCTGTTCCCCCCAAGGCCCTCTGAGATGTTTGGGGGCCTGGACAAGGGGTCCTGGGGGGAACCCCCAGTACCTCCCAAGCCACCCATGGAGGGTGGTTGAGGGTGGGGTGGGGGCACATCTCTGCTTTCTTTTTAGCCGAAAAAAGAAACAAAAACCTCCGCCATGAACAAAACCAAGACGAGAGAGTGAACAGCCCAGCATGGGGTGGGGGCAAGAGACGGGGTAGGGGACCCCAGGCACCCCCATTCCCTGCAGACCCTCCCGCCCCTGAGTGCTCACCCTGTGGCTTCTGCAGGGACGTGGGGCCTTGCGTCGTCCGTGGTCTGCCTGCGCTGTCTCTCTTGGGCCCCTTCTCTCTCTGTCTCTCTCTCTGCTGCCCGGGGAGGGGTGGGGAGGGCGGGTGGGCGGCGGCGGCTCAGGCCTTGTGCTGTTTGCTGGTCTTGAAGGAGACCTGCAGCACGCGCTCGCCCAGGCGGTAGCCGTTGAGGCTGGCGATGGCCATGGCCGCCTCGTCGTAGTTGGTCATGGTGACAAAGCCAAAGCCTTTGCACTTGTTTGTGGTGAAATCACGGATGACCTTGACGTTGGTGACTGCCCCGAAGGGACCGAACAGCTGCCACAGCACACTCTCGTCCGCCTCCGGTGACAGGTTGTACACGAAGATGCACCAGCCGGCGCCCGCCGCGCCGCCTGACAGGCCCACGCCCGCAAGGCCGCTCATGCCGTCTATGGCGATGGGCGAGAACCTGGCGATGAGCGACAGGGGACTACTTTGGGGGTCACGCGGGCTCTGCCCTGACCCCCAGCATGTCCCCGACCCCGCTGTGACCCTGCGACCCCTGATATTGTCATGACCGTGGCCAAGTCAGAACTTTGGGACTGTGTAGTGGCCTTTGCACCTTCCAGACCCTGCCATGGCCCCGTGGTTCCTGACCCTATAATCCATGACTCTGCCCTGACTCCATGATCTCCGTCCTGACCCTGATCTCGAGCCTAGCCTGTAGCCCTGTCTCAACCTCTAACCCTCCCTGAACCTATATGCCTCAGCGCATGATCCTGCCCTGAGCCCCAATCTACTCCTTGCGCCCACGACCTACCAGGTCCTTGGCCTTGTTGATCCCAGCCCCTCACCCTCCCCTGACCTTCACCCTTCCCTTAGTACATCTTCTTACCCCACTCCTGCCCTTGACCAACTCTGACCTCGCCTTGACCCCACCCTTGGCAACCCTGCCCCACTGTCCCACTGGTTACCCTGACAGCTCCACGTGGCTGAGGGCCCACCCTGGAAGAGCAGCACGAGGAGACAGACGTGAGCATAGCAACTCCCTCCCGCTGTTCAGGTCACCTCCTCAGGGCGGCCTCCTCTGATCCCTGAAAAAGTGGCCCCTCTAGTCCCTCTAATCCTCACAGGCCTTGTCCCACTCAAACCCCTGAGCACCAGCACACATAGCTCCATCTTCCCTGCAGCGCTTTGTTCTCTGTGGGGCTCCAGCACCAAGTGCAGCAGCTGGCACACAGTAGGTGCTCACAAGGTGTTTGTTAAGTGAATGAATGAATGAAAGGACCAAACTGGCCAGGCCACATTCCTTGCAGGCTCCCACGCCCTCAGGACAAAACCACTCATGACCAGAACTGCTCGGCCTTGGCCACACGGAGCTAACTGCTCCATCCTTCTCTCAACCTTTGCATAGGCCATTCTCGCAGCTAGGAGCTCCGTTCCACTCTGCTCCTTGTCCCCAGGCCTCACATGGGTCGGGGTCTCCCCTGGCCTTCACCACCGCTTATGCTGCCCCCTTCATGGCCCTGATCACTGTTTCTTTATTCTTCCCCACTGGACGGGAATCATTAATAATATCAACAACAATAGCAATAATGGCTGCCTTTTACTGAGTGCTCACTGTGTGCCAAGCACTGTGCTCAGGCAGGCTATATTCCCTTCAGTCACTTAGTCTGCACAAGGACCTGGCCACGCTGGAGCCCCAGCCCCAAGCCAAGCACTGGCACGCAGCACGCACTCAACAGCTTGCTAGGGAATAAACACAGGGACCGTCACAAGGTCAGGGAGAAAGATGACGATGGGGACCTCAGTCCACCCCTGACCCCTGGAGGGAGGGGGTCATTCTGTGACCCTGTGCAAAGACAATCAACAGTGGGGGTGAAACTCGGAGGTGGACATGAGGACCCTGAGGGTGACACCCCGGCCTGCACTGAAATGGAAAGGAGGACCGGGGAGAGGTCCAGGTCCCTGCCCCCCTCTTGGGAACTTGTCCCACCCTCCAGGTCGGCTATGCCTGTTGTCCCCACAGGGGTCTGCAACTCAATGCAATTACACTGTCTTCCAGGGCTGAGGCTGAGGTACGGAAAGAACCTAGGTCTGCCTGACGCCAAAT